CAATTCTTTCATACCTCGTTGCACGTGGTGCTGTCACGGCTAATGCATCGTAGAGTTGAGTGCTCAGTTATGTCCCTTCGTAACGGTAGAAGACTTGTGTCGTTGTCGTTTCTAGTTGTGGGTTGCATGCATAGAACTGGTCCCCGTCGATCTTGCTTAGAATCCATGCGATCGGGGCATCGAGACTGGGTGAAGGTAAACCAACGATCGTAAACTGCAATCGAACTTCCGTTCGAACGTCACGGGGACTAGAACGACTGGATTTGTGGAATAACTTACGGATTTATGGGGATTTCGAGACAGTCCTGTTTTTCGTAAAATAAATTATCTGATCCCAATTCTCCTATCAATATGTGCAACTAGATCTGATAAATGTGTCCAAATCAAGGTTTTCAACGGGGGAATATTAACTACCAAAATCGTCAAAATGACCGGTTGCAGATTTCTTATTTTATAATAACTGAAATTATAATAATGGTAAATTATACTGTATATTATGTATATTACTATATTACACATTTAGTTTAGTATAATTCAGAAATATACTTTCGATCGAATAATTTAATTTAGCAAATAAATAACTCCTCCAAAATAATGTTATTCTTACGAAACCGTGGTTTGCTCCCAAAGAAATGTCTCCAGAAACAGGCGACTGTCGATGCGTTAAAATAACCACCAGCAGGAAGCCGTTTATATAAAAGTTAAAAGTTCTTCCGTACGACTATTTTTTGCGAAATTCTGTTTTCGTTTCGAAACGATACAAATATTTATTCTATTTTTATGATACTTGCCATTCGTTCCCATCATCCTGCGTCATTTTGACTAAATAGAGAAGATTTGAAAAAATATTTCGCAACCTATACTTACACAGAATAGATATATGTTTATCGTCGGTAATTCTAGTGTTACAAACTCGCCTAAACATTCTTTTAAGGGGACTTTCTCATTCAAAATTGAAAAAAAAGACACTTTTTTAATATTTCTTTATAAAAAAACTATTATATTTAGAAACATAATTCCTTTTGGACGCTATTATATATATTATTAAGAACATAAAGAAATTTTTTCTAGCACTTTTAGTTCACCACGACCGCTGTAGAGGGCGTCTTCCAAAAAGCCACGTTTTAATCGGTGCGACACTGTAGACGTCCTGTAAAAAATGAAGTAAAAATTCAAACGGGATTCTATTCGTGAGACTTAAAACTAGACAATAAACCTCTAAAAGTTCATAAAACTACCCCCCCCTTTTTTATACAGGGGTGAATTGCCCCCAAAAAAGTGATTTTTCGAATTTTTC